AAAAACCGGCACACATGAATCCCGCTATTGCAGCGGTATAACTTGAACCAACACATATTAGAGTTTGTTTAGCAGCACATGCCGTCACATTTGTGAAGGAATTGTGTCCTTTAATCGAATGTGCAATTACTAATTATGGATGGGACATTTAATGGAGATTTACAATCCGGTTATTTTAGATAATCATAGTGCTTTGCTAGAAGCCAACTATGATTTATGGACTTTATGTTATAAAGTTTATTGCTATTATAATTGGGTCCTACGAGGTCACACCCTAAGAGTTTATGGACTGGATATATTGGGAGAATTATTATATAAAGTATATAATATAAAGTTATATAAGATATAACTTCAAAATAGAGTTTATTAATAATAAGGAGTTATTGTTAAATAAAGGATAAATTTATTTATAAATGTTATAAAAGATAATATTTAATTATAGAATTAAATATGACTTTAATTAGTGGATTATATTTAATTATAGAATTAAATATGACTTTAATTTGTGGATTATAAATAAGAGTGGTTTTTCTTTTAGAAAATCCAATACAATTCCACTTTCTCTATATACGTGAAAGTGTTACTACTTTCTCTCCCAAAAACCTTTCATCTTCAACCTAGCAGTTGATTTCTAAGGATCCAGATCTTTGCTCGGGTGGATCAACTAGAGGAGTTTTCAAGTGAGACTCTTAATCTCTCCATTAGAGGAGGCTTTGAACACGCATCAAGAGGTAATCGTTTTTCCTAATTCTTAATCCAATTGATTTATGCAATAGATCCTTTGTTTAGATGTTAGGAAAACGTTTCCTGCAATTCCGCTTAGAGCATCTAAAGTTTCTACACATGAAGCCACAGAAAAAAACAGCTAAATGCAATACATGTAAAATGTGGTCCAAAGTAATTTTTTGACAAATCCACAAAATCTTGCATCCATAATTTCCTCAAGTGTAATAAGTTCAGCATCACTTAAGGTAATACCATTTTCGAAAAATTGTATATATAATGTAGGTATTACAGTTGGGAAGCTAGCAGGGTTAGGTAATCAGTTTATGAAGGAGGTAGATACCATGAAGACTACATACAGAAAAAGAAAAAGAAAAAAGAAGGCGTAAAGTGAAATTTCTCATTATTTTTTATTATTGCATTATGTGAATGTTTTTATTATCTCTTGCCTTGCATGAATGCTTGTTTATTTATATTATTTAGTTCGCTTATATATAGACAACCATTACATGCTAAAAGTCCCTTAAAAGAATATTGAGATTATGCCTTTCCATGTCATAACCATGAGGCCATTGGAATTCGTTGGATAGTTTTCGCCCTAGCGAGGTGTCCTTCCTTGACCTTGGGATAGTGCGGGTATGTCTAATAGGGGCATGCTACCTTGATATGGTTATACTCAACAAGAGGCCAAAAGACTTAGTTTTAGATCTTGAGGCATAAGGATGAGTTAACATATGATGTGGCCATCAACCAAGAATTATAAAGTGTTATAATTAGTAAAGCATTTACTTACCTTGATTACATGAGATTTGGGGAAGTGCCTTAGTACGCTCAAGTTTCATCTAAGATAGGATCTTGGAATTATTTTACTCACAAGGGACAATATTATATTGAGTAGAATATGCAATAACTTGTTATTTAGAACATGTCTAAAATAAAGTTTTTTGCATTTCAAGCATAATTTATCTGCATATTTCAATTTCTGTTTTGTAGTTACTATGTCTACTGAAGCATATTTTAATTTCTGTTTTGTAGTTACTATGTCTACTGAACACCTCAAATTCACGCTCCGCTCAATTGTTGAGAAAAACAAGTTGAACGACACCAATTTTCTTGATTGGGAACGAAATCTGAGAATTATTCTCAGGTCTGAGAACCAAGAGGATGTCCTAGAAACACCCATCTCAGAGCTGATTGTCAACTCATCTGATGAGGATAAGGCACGTCACAAAACAATATGCCAGAGGTCAAGGAATGTTACTTGCCTCATGCTGGCTGCCATGGAACCTGGTCTTCAACAGAGGTTTGAGGGTCAGGATGCCTATACAATTATGAGAAATCTTAGAGATCTCTTTAAGGAGCAGGCCAGGATTGAGAGGTATGAGACCCTTAAGTCCATATTGCAAAGCAAGCTCGAAAAGGGGAAACCAGTGGGGCCACATGTTTTCCACATGATAGGCCTGTTTGACAGGATGGCTCGACTTGGGAACCCCTACAATATTGAGATGGCTACAGATATAATCCTGTATTCCTTACATGATGGATTTGCTAATTTCAGGCAGATGTATCACATGGGAGCCATGGGTAAGACCCTCAATGAGCTGCATGCTATGCTCAAAACTATTGAGCAAAATGTCTTAGTTGAACCTAGGAAGGATGTTCTTATGGTCAACAAAGGGAAATGGTTTAAGAAATTAAGGGCCACAGAAGAAGCAACAGTCTCAAGGGAAGGGCAAGACAGTTGTTCCACCAAAGGGAAACACACCTAAAATAAAGGTGGCTGCTGAGCATGACTGCTTCTACTACAAGGCTAAGGGGCACTGGAAGAGAAACTGCCCCAAATATCTGGAAGATAAGAAGAGGGGTGCCTCTGCTTCAAGGACTACGAAATAGGAGACGGTTGCAGAAGGGTGAGATAGATCTTCGCGTTGGAAATGGAGCAAGAGTTGCTGCACTTGCCATTGGAGATTATAGTCTACCGCTACCTTCTGGCTTGGTTTTAGAACTTTATAATTGTTATTTTGTTCCTTCTATTACTAAGAATTTGATTTCAATTTCAGTTTTGAACCTTGAGGGTTATAATTTTGTCATTAAGGATTGTTTTTCTATTTTTAAGAATGACATCTTTTATGCTCAAGTCCATATGAATAATAGTGGATTATACATATTGGATCTCAAATCTGAAGTTTATAACGTTGATACAAAACGGCAAAAGTCGAATGACATAAGTGAAGCCAATCTATGGCATTGTCGCCTAGGCCACATTAGCATTAAACGCATGAAGGAACTCCAAACAGTTGGTAGCCTAAAGTCATTTGATTTAGAATCATTTGAAACATGTGAATCATGTCTAATGGGTAAGATGACAAGGTCACCTTTCAAAGGTACAAGTGAAAGGACTACTGAGCTCTTAGCTCTCATACATACCGATGTGTGTGGACCTATGAGCATAGAAGCTAGGAGAGGCTATCGATACTTCATTACATTTACTGATGATTTTAGTAGATACGGGTATATCTACCTAATGAAACATAAATCTGAGTCTTTTGAAAAGTTCAAAGAATTTCAGCATGAAGTTGAGACACAAACAGGCAAGAAGATAAAGGCACTTCGATCAGATCGAGGGGGTGAATATCTGAGCCAAGAATTCGACCATCATTTGAGGAGTTGTGGTATTCTAACACAACTGACTCCACCAGGTACACCACAACTGAATGGTGTGTCTGAGAGGAGAAACAGGACATTGTTAGACATGGTCCGCTCAATGATGAGTTTTGCTGATCTTCCTACATCCTTTTGGGGTTATGCCCTCACTACCGCTGCGTTCACACTAAACAGGACTCCGTCCCGATCAGTTGACAAGACACCACATGAGATATGGTTTGGGAAGCCTCCCAGCTTGTCATTTCTGAAGGTTTGGGGATGCGAGGCTTATGTAAAGCGTTTACTATCTGATAAGCTCGCACCCAAATCAGACAAATGCTTCTTTATAGGTTACCCCAAGGAAACGAGGGGTTATTATTTCTACAATCCCGTTGAGAACAAGGTGTTTGTTGCTCGGGATAGTGTCTTTTTGGAAAAGGATTTCTTTTCCAAGAAGTCAAGTGGGAGAAATGTTCAGCTTGATGAGATTCAACCTGAGCAACAAACCCTACAGCATGAGGACATAGAAGATGTCACAGAGGAACTTGATTTTGGAGGCGTACCTTCTCAAAGGGAAACCACCCATATTCAAGATGCAATTCCTCAGGTAGATGAAGCACCCGAGGTCCCACATACTGATGTGGTCAATCCTCCTGCTAAAGTCTCTCCAGCTGTTGGACCACTTTGGAGATCAAACAGGCCAAGGCGGCAACCTAGACGATATGAGGATTTCGTCTTGAATGCTAGCATTGACGTTCTACTTTTAGAGAATGATGAGCCTGCTACCTATAAACAAGCAATGGCGAACCCCGACTCCGAAAAATGGCTTGAAGCCATGAAATCCGAAATGGACTCCATGTCTGAGAATCAAGTATGGGACTTGATAGATTTGCCTGATGGGGTAAAACCCATTGGATGCAAATGGGTCTTCAAGATCAAGACAGACAAGGATGGAAATGTTTCTGTCTACAAGGCAAGATTAGTTGCCAAAGGATTTGAAATCCGAAATGGACTCCATGTCTAAGAATCAAGTATGGGACTTGATAGATTTGCCTGATGGGGTAAAACCCATTGGATGCAAATGGGTCTTCAAGATCAAGACAGACAAGGATGGAAATGTTTCTGTCTACAA